GAAATATCGTTGCCAAAAGTCCCAGAAATTCGCGGGTGTCTTTTAGAAACGGATTAGAAATGAACTAGAAACCGATTTTAGAAACGGATTAGAGATGGACATATAAAATACGTTTCTAATGTTAATGTTTCAATATTTATTGCTATTTTTACATTTTATTTTACTTCTATCTCATACAAAAAATGTAAAAGATTTGATAAAATATTATTAGGTGAAAATTTTCAAAATAAAGAATAAATGAATAATCTGTTTTTTAATAATCTAAAAGATTTTGCCTAATATTTAAAAATTCAAATGTTTAAAATTGTTAAATAAATATTTTTTATAAATTGAATAATTTTTCAAAATAAAAATTGGTGAAATAAAAAGATCTACTATGAAATTTATTACGTTTAAAAAAATATATAAAAATTTAAGAATTCAATTGAAACAATAAAGTTAAAAAATTAACATACAAAACTGCAATATTATTTAAAATGTTTAAATTTATGATTTTTTCAATAATAGTATCATATTAGTTAAAATATGATTATATATATTTATAAAGTAAAATAAATAAGAAAATATTAATTTCTTTTATCTAAACTTTGTTCAACGACATGCGGGCTTGGGTAGGACTGTCAGAATGGGTGGCGGCCATAGCTGGACTCGTCCTGTGGCTGGCCGTGTTTCGTGCACGGTGGACGGGGCAGTCTTTGCATCTGAACGGAAGGTGGCATGGGGGGATATTGTCCAAAACTCATCTGGTCAGTTCGTATGTGGCTAATCTTCTTGACTCTCGGGTATTATTCTCCTAAAGTTGTTGAGGCAATTTTGGACAGACCAGAAAGTGAGTCTTTGGGCCTGAAGCCCATTGTCTAAGCAATCCTGTAAACACATCATTAGGCCCACATGTCAATCATAAGTTTAAATTCTTTTTTCACTTAATCCTTTTACTGTTCTTTAATTACATTTCTGCCCAACTGCGTTTTTTCCATTTAACCCTTTTTATTGTTTCTTAACTACATTCTTGCTATAACTTGAATCTTGTTATCTATTTAAAATTTGTTAAATTAACTTTTTTTTTTTTTAATTTATAAAACTAAAGCTTAATTTGAGTTTTTCATTGCATTTTCTGAATCCCTAATTAAAAATATTTTGAATAATTAGTTTTATAGTATATATAATTGATTTACCATTCATTTATGCATAAAAAATAATTAATATATAAGCTTTTCTACAGTAACATAGAACTCCAAGTAAATTCTAGAAAATTTTATTTAATTTTTTATACCAAACTATTATGCCCTTAATGGTAATTGAATTCTTGGATTTGCAGGAGCCTTACTGGGAGAAGCTTTTGCGGTATTGCATAGATAATAATTTCTACCAACGCTGCCCTCTTCCTGAATGGATTTAGAAGAAGGTGGTGATGTTTGTTTCCTGAGAAAGTGCATTTGAGAATTGTGATTTATGAGCATAATTTGAATCCAGAAAGTTGGAACCTTAAGAATGAAAAGAAAATAAAAGGATTTGATTAGTTGTTTTGCATATTAAGAATTGCGTTGAGTCCCACATTGAGAACACACATTGTTGAATATGTGGCAGATTACTATAAGTAGAGGCTAAGGCATTCGAGAGAAGATACTTACCTGGACGGGGTCAATGGATAATCAAGAAGGTCTATGGCCTAGATCAGTGACTTCCATTGCACTTGGGATGGGTGCTGGTCTAAGGTCTCCCCGAGAGGGAGAGCCTACGTCATAATTTGTGGCAATAGGGGCCTGCGTTCGCGCGGCCCCTTTCCAATTTTAATTTTTGTGGTATTTAATATGAACTTTTTGGTATTTTTAAGATTTTTTTATTTTTTTATATGCCTAAAAATTTAATGCATAAATTTGAAGTTTTTATTTAAATCCTATTTGATGTAAAATGAATTCTATGAAATTCTATGGATTTATATTTTTGTATTCATTTAGTCTTAGTATTTAAAAACAGGTTTGATTTTCTTCTATTTTTTTTGCAAAATTTGAATAAAAATATTCATAAATTTAAAAGTAAAAAAAAGATAATAATTTATAAAATTTAATTTAATTATAAATAAGAAAATATTTACTCAAAAATAGTAATTATAATAAAAATAAACTTAAACCATTCGGTTACGAACTGGAGTCGAATCAAAATTGAACTGGTCAAAACCGGTACTAAACCATGATCAACGATTCTAGGTTTCAAACCATATCTGAAATTATATACTTAAAATTCAGTTCTGGTTCTTCATTTTTTATAACCGGAACCTGCGGTTTTAGTGTGAAACCAGGTTTGCAAATATGAAAACATGTTCTTGAAAACTTTTTTATTTTGTTTTTCTGTTTTATTATAATTTTTAAAAATAAATTTTTAAAATTTTTATTAAATTGGTTTAATTTTTTTCGATAGTAATAAAAGTATTATTATTCAAGCTTACCAAATTCAAAAAAAATTTTTAACGAAGTTTTTATTATAATTTTTAAAAATAAATTTTTAAAATTTTTATTAAATTGGTTTAATTTTTTTCAATAGTAATATTTATTATTATTTATTCAAGCTACAAATTTCAAAAAAAATTTTTAAGAAGTTTGAAATAAATTATTTAATTTCAATTTACAATCGGAAAAAAATCGAAATTGGGGGTTTCAAAACCTTCCTAGAAACCACTTAGAAGTAGTTTAGTTTCAATTTCACATTTTTTTATAACTGGATTTCAAAATTACCGATTTCGAAACTATGGTCATGCCTTACGTAAGTAGACACAAGTTAAAAATTAAATGCATAAACCGATGATTAGACTTAAAGTTATAATATTTTATGCATAAACATAAATTAAAATTTAGGTAATATCAAAGTTCAATGACAATTGATAATGAATAATATTGATTATATGTAAAATAATATTAATATTAAATTAAAATTAATGCAACAACGACTAATAATAATAAGTCGAGCAATGAATATTCGAGGTACCTTGATGGTGGAAAAACCTACATAATGAAAGTAAAGAAACACTTAATAGCAAAAATAAATAAAACTTGAATAGATAAAATAATTATATTTACAGTGATGATATGCAATATATAATTCCTACTAAGATGGGATACAACTTATAGAATAGAATTATACTTCCTAATTAAAATATATAAGACTTCTACAATTGGGTATCGATTTAAAATATTAAGCACTATAAACACGTGTATTTATAATAAACAATTATCTGTCAAATATTAACTATTAAATGCGGAAAAGGATTTTTTAAACAAATTAAAGATTAAATAAAATTTAATGTATGTAAGTAGACATTCAGCCACATCACCGTTCATACCTTCTATTCTATATGACACGTCAGCCATAATCCACACTAGTACTGGAGATGCTCTAATGTTGATTGTTTCTCAATTATTTTTAACTTAAACTTAAGAGTGTGAAAAATCTTTGGACAACGCTTCTTATTCCAAAGATTGTTTTCAAATTTCAAATTTCAATTTTCTATATTAAAAGAGGACGAGATAAGCAGAGGGAGGGGAATGTGCATTCTTAGTCATTACTCACTCGCAAAACTCAATGCATGAATTAAACACTATACTTAATGCTTTAACAGAGGAAGAATGAGAACATAAAATAAAAAATAAAAAAAAAAAAAAAATTTGAGAAGGCAATTACTGAATTACAACAATCTAAATGGAAATGGTGGATTTGATGAGATCAAAATGATCCATTTAACATTACTCAAATGGTAATTGTGAACTATTTAATAATTTCAAAATAATATAGACAAATAATCAAATGATGCAAACATGTTATAAGAACTAACTAGGAACTTGAGGAAAAAATAAGAGCATCGGATTGAATTGCTCTTATTTAATTACTACATAAAATGGAACGACTTTTTAAGAAATGCTTTTTAATGCTAATATCTAAGCTGAGGTGTTAAAAAAAAAAAAAAATATTGTCTACTACATCTTTTATTTCTAGAGTCTTTTAGACAATGTGAGCATTTATTACTTTTTAGTGACTGGTTGCGTATTGAATTGTGGGCTTAAAAAAGAAGATAGAAAATGACTCAAAATTAGTGTATATTGGAGAGAGATTCTTAAAATTCAATGTCTATAAATAGACATTCAGCCACGTCACCGTTCATACATTTTATTCCACACGATACATCAGCTACAATTTACATTAATATTAGAGATGCTCTAGGAGTTAACAATCATTTCTTTTTGGAGCCTAAAAAATAAGGATGCAAGGGTGAGTAGGGTTGACAACATGTTAGATATTCGCTTAAAATATATTATATGAACTCGAATATTCTAATAAATTAAGTAATCGGAGTTCATTTATAGTTTTATTTTTATTATATGAATTCATGTCAAACCCGATTATAAATATCTATTTAATACCCAAATCCTTTTAAATATATGTTTTACATTAAAAATATTACTACCTCTGTCCCAAAAAAGGTAGTCCATCTTTTTTTTTGGTTTGTTCCAAAATGTAGTCCACTTTCTTTTTTTTGTATTATAGTTAACTCTTAAATTGTTTATTATACCCTCATTAAATTTTATCTTATTTTCAATAACACTCATTAATTTTTATTTATTATACAAATATAATAAGTGCTCATGTGTTATTTAAAATTGACATAATTGAAAAGTTATATGAATAAAATTGTATTTTAATCATACTTCTTAATCTGTGTGTAAATAAAAAGTGAACTATCTTTTTGGGACACGATGAATATTTTATTTTTTATTTTGAAAAATAAAAATAAGTAAAAATCTTAAACTTCTATTTTTATTCATTAAAAAGATAATATCTTTGCTAACTATAATACTAATTACAATTAGAAAGGTATATTTCAAAATTTTAAATATTTTTAAAGAATATTATAATTTTTTTTATTTTATATAATAAGCTTTTAGCGAATAAAAAAAAAATTAATAAAATGAAAAATTTAAGCATGCGCGCAACAAATTCCTGGTAACTGAAGCTTGTAACAAAAACTAAAAATTTGTAAACCCTCCGATAACACAATTATGAGTACTTCCTTATAGTACCTCTGCACCGCTACTATACTCTAGCTTTCCCGAACCTTCCTTTGCTCGAAAGCCAAACTCATCGTATCATTTCACTTTCAAAACTCTCTCAATTCTAAATTAGCAGAAGAAACAATATTCGCTCAGGGAAAAAAATGTTTAAGAAGGCAGTAGAGGCAAAATCGCATCAGAGGCTTTCTGGTGCCGACAGAAAAAAGCTTAAACGAACCATCAGAGATAAGTTTCCTCGAGCTTCTGATGCCGATATTGACATTTTACTCCCGCCCAAAGTAAAGATTTTTTCTTCTTTGCACTTCTTAAAAAAATTTTTTAGTCGTGTTTCTGAATGTGTATTAGTGATGATGAATTTATTTATTTAATGCATTAATGGGTATTTGATTTTCATTGGTTTTTGAGACGCTTCTATTGATTTTGTTAATATTATTTATGATTTGGGTATTTGTTAGTTTCTGTGAATATTAAGTGCTTGATTTTGATTTTGGACATTTGGTGTTACTTTAATAGGTTGTAAAGTTTATGCATTTCTATTCTCATTTGGAGCTGGATATTTATATTTTATCAAACGCATATTTATCTTCAAATTGAGAGTGTTTGTTTGTGGTTGAGTATAGAAAAGGAATAAGCTCCAAGGTGATACTAGAAGTTCTCAATTGCTAAATTTATATTAACCGTATTTAATTTGCCTTTTGGAGATAGTGGAAGATAGTGTTCTGATTGTTGTTTTATAATTTAGGAACTGATTCTTTTTTATTTTTATATGATGTGTGTTTTAGGCAGAGATTACTGTTGCAAAATTTCAAAATCGAGTCCATGTATTTGGTGTCGAAGGTGGCTTTCCTATGTTTTTTGATGTTGATGGGCGAGGCACAGAAATTTTCCCTACAGGTTGGCAATAGCATTGTTTCATGTTTTTTTTCCACTATTATTTCATGTTCTTTAAATTTTATTTTATATGAAAAAATAAGTGTTGCTCGCTGAAATGTGTACGTTGGCATTCACATGCTGTGCTTGCTTAGTAGCTGGCTATGTTTGCTTAGTTCTAGCTCATTGTTTTTCTATAGTAGTAGCTTTTATGGTGCGGAGCACATGCCTCTTTTCCAATAGCCACCTCCCATTAACTCGAATCAAGTTTTAATCCTAAGTTTGGAGTTGACAGAAAAGATCGATTCTCCATTAGATTTGGTTATGTTTTCAAGGAAGTCTAATGATGTGACTGATGCACTGGAGTCATCCTTAATCTACTACTTTCTTCATTCCGTAATTTGTGCGTGATTTATCATCTAAACTGTTCTATCTACCATTCTATGTTTGATGTTACTAAACCATTCTTGCTAATATATGCTGTATGTTTGATTTGAAATACTAGAAAGTATGGTTGAGCTCCATTTGTTTCATGGCAATGTCTTCAAAGCAGTTTTATTGCTTAGGGAAAATTTCCACTCAAAGCGTTTTCTTGGTAAAGTGAAAACCTGGCCATATTCAAGGAAAATGACATCCCTTTCTTAGAATAAGAAGTAATTTCCCATATCTCTAAAAAGTCATATGAATGGAAAAAATAATCCATAAGAGGACCTCATATGTGTGTGTCCATTAGTTATTTTACCATAGTTCTTTTAACCTATAGTATTTTAAAATCAAGTGCATGTAGGCATATATCTACTTGGTTGTCTAAATTTTAGCATAATCATCAAAAGAAAATTAGTTTTGATGCATTCTCCAAAATTTGGAAAATAATTTCCTAGTTCATTTTTAGTTGTACTATAAAATGGCAAGAAATAACTTTGTTTTCCCACAAAATACTGCAAAATATTTTTTCACATGGAAGTCATCTCCCGTGTGATAAATTGAGCCTAAGAAACTGGAAATCTATGGTTTTAGGATTTTTCATGAATTGCGTTTTGGATTTACTTGTTTCGGTTGTTTGAAGAGGAAATGTTAGTTTTCTCACACTGATATGCTTCTATGGCAGATGCATACATCATTGTGTCTATGCATCATTTTGATGGGGTGTTGCTTGGTCTCTAACTAGTAAGAATATCTTGATTCTGGAAGTCCTTTGTTGCTTATAGTTTAGAAAGTTAGGACGTGGGGGGAATTCTTCCAACTATGAACATTTGATGTAAGATATAAGGAAATATGCTTCTTGTACCTGTGCTAGTTGTTTTTTTTTTTAATGAAGGTGCTAAACTAAATTATGAAAAGTTAATGCTAATAAGAAGGTATTTTATCATGGAGCATAATGTCTTTTTAGCTGGAAATATGTGGAATGTAATGATAGCATTGATTCGCCGTAGATTCGATCTCTCCTTACTTCTTTAGAACACGATCTCATCGCTCAAGTCCTCTTCAAGCCCTGTATCAGCAGAAGCAAGGGAACTGATTGATCTTCATGGCCTGGAAACAAGATAATAGAATCTCTTCGGAAAGATAGCTCAACATAAGCTATGTTCAATGGGCGAAGACCTTCAGAGGCAGGGTAAGAGTCTCCCTTTTTCCTAGCCCAGAGACAGGACTACTTAAGCACTTTAACCGATGCGTGGGCTTGACCAATCTCTTCTACGCTTACTTCGACGCCGAATCAAAGACTGAATTTAAACTGGAAATTACTAAATAAAGCAATCTTCTTTTTGACTAATTCCATTCTTCCTTGTTTGATCTATCTCTGTCACAATTAATCTGATTGACTTTCTTGCCAAAGCCTTACTACATGAATTTTTGTCTTGCATGCTTCTGTTTTTGAATTGGATTTACTATGACGTCTCTTGTGTTCAGCTGCAAATGGAGTATTTGAGAAACCCGAGGCTGAAGCTGAATTTTTTTTAAGGGATGCTTTTTTAGTTAATATAATTAATTCTTGTTTTTTGGTTCAGCTGTGTGAAAAAGGAATAAGAGTTTTTCAAGTTGTCAATACTAGTTTAGGGTACTGTAGGTTATGAGAATCTTGAAACGCAGCAAGATTGATTGAAATGCAGTTGACAATGGGCAAAACTGTTTGTACCTGATACTGTGGCTTAATTGGGAGGCCTTGATGCACAAAAAAATATGATGATATTAATGAAGCTTGGAGAATTTGAGATTGCAGCTGTTCTAGATTATGAGAAAATAAAGAGTGTTAGAATCTTCAACATCGCATATGCAGAATTGTTTTTGCTCATATTTGAAGAAAGAATGTTGGAGCCTCAGAAAATGAACCTTCAAATTTTACTGGATGGTAAAATTATTTAAAATGGAACCTATGTTAAAATCAGTAGTGCAAGGACATTATTAGTACCTAAACTTGTAGCTTACTTCAGTTGAGCCCTTAAACTAAAAGTGTGATCTTCAAATTTGATTTTTATACAATCAAGTCTTTTTTTTTTTTTTTTTTTTTTTTTTTTTTTTTTTTTTTTTTTTTTTTTTTTTTCTTTTTTTGTTTTTTTTTCCAGTATATATTGAAAAGCATTTACTTGATATCTCTGACCTCCTTTTTTTTTTTTTTTTTTCTTTTTTTTTTTTTTTTCCCAGTATATTGAAGCATTTACTTGTATCTCTGACCTCCAGAAGGCAAGTTTTGTTTTTTCTTTCTTTATTTTTTTTTAACTATTTGAAGAAATCATTTCGTTATTCTTTTTCTTTCAGTGAATGAAAACAATAAAAACATAATGACAACATTTAGAATGAATTTCAAATGAAGATTTTAAGAAGTTGATTCTTATTTTCCTACTTCAAAATGATAGGAATATGGTCAATTTGATTAAATTTTTTATAAAATGTTGCGTTAAAGAGATGGTTGCACATTTTATAGCTTTGGGGCTCAATTAAAATTGACTAAAATCTTAAAGACTAGGGGGCTCATTTGAAATATACTACAAACATAAAAGACTACAAGTTCTTCATTCAAAATACAAAATTTTTGTTCTCTTGATGGATATTGATTTTTTTTTTCCTATTTATTGCTTCCATTTTATCATGCAGTTTTCGCTCTTTGGAAGGTCCCTGAATTGTTGCCTTCTTTTATGCTTAAGGGGGGTGAGGTCTCTCGGTTTGTCATTGGAGGGGCGGATTTGATGTTCCCCGGCATTACTGTACCTGCTGAAGGCCTACCTTCTTTTTCAGCAGGGGAAGTATGGGCAGTAAAAGTTCCTGGAAATCCAGCACCTATTGCTGTTAGCATTCTTTTGAACCTCTGGCTCAACTTGATAGTTTCCTTCCATTTTTGTACTATCTGATTCTGACCTGGTGGTTGATTTAATATTTGTTTCTGCAATTTTTTTTTCTTCTATGCAGGTTGGATCTACCACTATGAAGAGCACTGAAGCAATAAAAGCTGGTTTGCGTGGAAAAGCCTTAAGGATAACTCACTATTACCGAGACTTACTTTGGCAAGTGTTGCTAGAACTTTTTGGGAGATTGATTGATTATTAATTAGTCCCGTCTTTGACATACTCTTACAATTGCAGGGAATCTGTTGAGGGCCATTATGTGCCAAATGCAGGTTTCTTGGAAGATGTTGTCTTTGAGGATCCTGCTTTCTCATCATCAGTTAAAGTTCCCGATGCATGTGAAGCTGGTGGTGATGATGATCAGCAGAATGAGGATCAGAGCAAAGAAATTGGGGAATCTGCTGACCTAAATGAGGTCACATCGGAGCCTCATCCATCTTCAAACGTGAAACTTGATTCTAAAAATGACATTGTAGAACAAGTCAGTGCAGATGTGGGTGATTTGAAAATAAAAGATAATATAGCTACTGATGAATCAAATGCTGAGGGGCAGCATATGTTGTCAACTACTGATGTGGATGCTTATTTGGACAAATGCCTGTTGCAAGCCCTGCATATGACTGTTAAGGACAAAGATCTTCCAATGCCTGGAAGCACCTTATGGTAAGTTGTTTATAAGGAAGTTTGCATTCCCGTCCCTTCAATCTCACATTTGAATTGGTCTTCGACATTTCTGCATATTTAACATCCTATGTCATTGGATTAACATACAAATTGATGATTGCATGTCTGTGAGATTGTTTCCATGGTTGCCTTTTGTAACTAAACTTTTGTATGTGGTGAACAATTACCTAATGATCTTGAGACTGAGATACCTTTTTCTCTCTTGGTATGCAAGTTATCTTATTCCATGTAGAAGTTATATGGAATGAATCATGATGGTATATTTTGTTGTTTGGCATCTGATTTTCTGATAATTGTGAGAAATCTAATGCTGTATTTCCTCTTTGTAAAACTAGAGAAACTGATAAATCCATATTGATTGCAGGCTCATTTTGATGGCGGGCCTTAGGGTTGATTAGCATGCATTATGAGTTATACATCTATGAATACACATTTCATTGTGATTCTGTGTCAGGAATTTGTATATTTTCATCTTGGAACTGAATTCTGGGAGGGACATTGGTATATACCAAAATACTAATGCGTGTTGAATCTCCCTTATGTAACCTTTATAAGTGTTTTAGTTATTTCTTGTTTTTGGAGGAAATCATTGATGGTGAACTTCTTAAATAAAGTTTGAGTCCTAGATTGGAATTTATTGAAATGTTTCAATTGGCCAAGGCTAACAATAATTTGAACTTCATAGGCATCATGTTAAGATTGTGCTTCTTACCCTAGTTAGTTATCTGTCATGGGAATGATTCCTATCTATTTGACATGTAATTTATGTGTATTGAGTATTGAAAATTAAAAACCAAATGTACATGGAGATTCCGTTGTTCGGTTAGTGTCACATTTTATTTGTGCACTTTGTTGCTTTATGGATTCTATTTCCCCCATGTGAATTGGTTATCTTTCACCAAGCTCGTCTTAAATGGAAATGTTTATGAGGAGGTAAGAAGACTATTTTGCGCATGGTGCTAGATATAATGCATTAGAATAGGGGAAATTTGGTCAATATTTGCCTGTAAATTTGGGGTGTGTTTATTTTGACCCTTACAACTTGTATCCTTTTTTTGAATTCTGCTCTTTGGACCTTCAAATTTTGCAATCATATTATTCAACTTCCATTGATTGAGTCCACTCCTAATTAGTAATTTGCATTGATGTGGCAGTTCTATATTTTGTCACTTGGCTTTTTGTTTTTTCGGTTTTTTGCTGATTAGCCTTAGTAATGACAAACTCGGAAATTAAGGACTTAAGCTTTGTTTCTTTCATGGAAAGTAACTTGTATGTAGAAAAGTTTGATGTAAAAGACTCGCTGTGAAAGTAATTATTTTCCATCATTTGGCTATTGATTGAAATCAATTGAAAAAATTAATTTACTTTTCGATTTAGAACATCATGATAATATATGGAGCTATGAGTTAGTTTTCCATTTGTAGTAGAATGACTGATAGGATTACATGAAACGGTAAAGTTATGGAAATGGGGAACTGTGCCTTGAAGGCAGTCAACAATGGCTAGTGGCTAATAAGCTTGTACTTATGTGGACGAGTTTGTGGAAGTCCAAAAAAATTAGCTTTTTTGCATGCAGGTTGAAGATATTTTAAGTGCTGTTACGAATGTAGTTTAATGGCTGTTTCGAAGCTTTTATAACTAAAATATCTGAAATTCAAAACATAAAATTTTATGATTTCTAATCAATATTAGGGGTCTTCTCATAGCAGCTTAAACAACAATGCAAACAGACCCGGACAATGTTTTGGGTGGACTGAATTTCCAATCTGTCCCAAAGATGAGAAAAACACAGCATTTTGTTTATTTTTTGGGGAAACTCTTTTCTGCATAACAAATAGAGCCTAATTACGTATTCAATTTATATCCTCCTTGATGAAATTATATTCAAATCGAAGAAATTTTAAAAGAAAACATGTCCTTATTCAAGTTATATTCTCCTTGATGAAATAATTTTCACTTGCCTTTTAATATTTCAAAAGGGTGGTGGTTATTCATATGGTTACACACTTTTTACTTAGTATTTCATATCTCATAGATATAAGTTGTTAGCACTTTTTATTTGTCAAAAAGGTGTTTAATGTTTTAGTTCTTACCCTGATAAAGAGGTTTGATTAGTTTGAATAATCTATTTCGAACTTGTCCTGGCTATATTTTGTCATTTGTCTGCTCTAAGTGTTTGGACTTTGAAGATGCTATTCACATTTAAGGCAAGAAAGCATTGGCTTGATGTTACTGACTGCTGATTAATGTGACATCTGATGAATACAATAAAAAGGTAGATATTTCATAAACGTGGGTGTGAATGAAAGTATTCACTTTAGTTTCCTTTGTGTTTATGTGCTCACACACACAGAGCGACGGCGGGCATGCATCAACTCAAATAAATTAACTGGACCTTGGTGTCATCTAACTGAGGGTTCATATTTAAGATCTTGAACTTAATTTGCCACTGTACTGGATGGGCTATTTTTTTTCTCATCATTTGTTCTTTGTCTTTCTTTTAAAAAAAAAAAAAAAAAAAAAAAATTAATTTGCCACTGCATACTGATGGGCTATGTTTTTTTCTCGATCAATTTGTTCTTTGTCTTTCCTTTTTAGAAAAAAAAAAAAAAAAAAGAAAAGAAACAACAAACGCTGCTACTTTTCTGAAAAAAAAAAAAAAAAAAAAAACAACGCTGCTACTTTTCTGTGATGGTGTAGGTCAAACCATGTTTTGCCTTGTAGACCTTCTGGTGTCATGCTAGATATCAAGAAATCATCCCACAAGAAATTGTCGAAGTGGCTGCAAGCAAAATCATCTGCAGGATTGGTGTGTTCCCCACTCTCTCCTTCCTCTTTGAGACTTAAGATTTTAGAAAGAGCCTCTTTTAATTATTTAGAAGCGGACAAATTGTCGGCAGAAATAAATTAAAGCAGTTCAAATCAAGTAAAAGAAGAAAAAGCCCGATATAAAAAGAAAAAGGACTAGCAAATTCAAAATAAAAAACCAAATAGTTTTGAACATTATCAGTATTTGCTCTAGAACTTCAGAAACTTAAGAGTATCTGAAATTACTCTCCAATAATTTCAACAGCTCGCAAACAATAACTCAATCCAATGATAACACCTTAGGGGGCAGAGGTTAAGGGTTTGAAATAGATTGTCAAAATTTATATTGATATACATATATCATTTGATAAGAAGATTACCTAGAAAACAAGATGTAGATAAATAATGAAAAAAGATTTTCTTAATTACAGTTGCATGGTCTTCAATTAAACTGTGCAAATATATTGACTACAACTTTCTCTAGAAAAGAAAAAATAAACCTAAGTTAACTTCAATTGTAATTCATCGAGAATCAATGCATGCTTCAGTTATCCTGGCTTTTTCTTCTTTTACTCGATTTGAAGTTCTTTTACAAAAGTAAGGCCCATTAGCCTTTTAGAACTGAAATGAACTGCAAAGTCAGGATACACATTCAAGCAAATATATCAGTTCTTTGTGGGAAATTGATATATTTTTGACATTTAGAATAACTATTGTTTCATGTGGACAGATTTCAGTGAAGGAAGACAAATATAAAAAGGAAACTGTATTATTTTCCATTAACCGCGCCCATCCAGATTACTTATCCTTTAAGCCAGAGAAGAGGCAGGAACAGAAAATTGATCAGACTGCTGATCAAGCTACTAGTGCAAGTCGGCCACAAAAAACGCTTGAAGTGACAGAGATCTATAAACCAAGTGTTCATGTCAATCCCATTTTTGCTTCTGTTGGTGCCGATACTGGGAAACTTTACAGTGCTTCCGAAGCTTCTGATATTGTCTTCAAGTATATTGAGAAAGAAAATTTGGTCAAGCCCACAAACAAGGCTTTTGTAGTTTTAGATCCAACATTATGTGATGCTTTGTTCAAGGGAGCAATTAAGAAAGGATCAACATACCCAACTGAGATTCATAAGAAGGATCTAGGATTGACATTTGTAAGCCGGATGCAAGCACATTACGTTGTTACGCGTGGAAGCGAGTCAGTTGTTCGTAAAGGTTCATTGAAGGCAATTCAAATTGTAACAGAAAGGCGACAAGGTAACAAGAAGGTCACAAAGGTCTCAGGTATAGAATCATTCTTGATGGATGCTGAGGCATTGGCATCAGAGTTGCAGAAAAAATTTGCTTGCAGTACTTCAGTGCAAGAGCTACCAGGTATATTAGGATGAACTGGTCGTTGATGGTATTTGTCAACAGCAAATACTTTTGCTGCTAAACTCAGTTTCTGGGTCTAAATTTTTTGAAGTTAACATATGACTGTAATGGCTGCAATGTTCATTTTTTTAAGTGCTGCACTAAGTATTTTCGGCAAGAACTAAAATAATTATGCATGAATGTGCTTATTGTGATGTTACTCTGCATGTTGCTTTGGTATTTTTATCTTAATGTCATTCTAAATTATCTCTAACATAAAGATATTTTGTTTTTTAAATTAAATGATACAAATACGCACACAAAAAAAGAAAAAAAAAATCACAAGTGTTGATACTGTGTTGCCACATGGGTGTAAGCTATGGATCTCAGTTGCATTGGGATTCGCAAGTACAGTATCTTACTATATATATTCAGTCTTAGACCTTACATGAAAAGAGGAGGTACTATTATAAGGTTCATAAGAAGCAGTTGCAGTTGTTGCTAACTTTGATTTATAGAGTTGGCCACTTGGCTGGTTGTGGCAAGTAGGGAAAAAGCAAGAGAGCATCATTTGTGAGCAGTTGGCTTTACCCTGCATTTTGGACCTTTTTAATTATATATTTCATGGATTTTAGAAAGAAGAAAAAGGAATCAATTGTGGAGCTTGCATCTTTGGTTTAAACAGAGTACTAATAACCAAGAATCATTCTTGTTTCCCTTTTTTGTTTATAATCAATAAAGCTGATTATTCTCGGCTTCATTCTGGTGATTTTCTAATGGTCTTTGTATAGTAGTTTGTATTGCATGTTAGCAATGGGATTGGAGTCTTTTTGTACTAGTGATGGTTTTTTTTGACTGTTTTCTTTACCTCGGGAGGATTTCGTTTTCTGCTCATGTGTAATGTATAGGCTTAAGGGCTTTTTGTTTGTGGCAGGTTCCATATTCAGAATAGAAAAAAGAGCAAGGGGTGGTTTACTAACTGCGTGAAGATGCATGCATGTTGAAAGTTCATTTTTGGTTGTAAACCATTTAGAAACTTGTGATTAGCTAATAATAGGATAATTGGATTTTTGAACTACCCTAATTTTCCATGTAATTGGCTGTTCATCTTAGTAATTATTCTGCAGTGTCTTATCACTCAAATTATTATTCCAATTAGCAGAGTATTTCTGGTTTGCTTATGGAAAATGTTTTTGTGTTTTTTCTGTTTGATGTCTCAGCTAAATATTATGTTTTGTTGAGTTTGATTTTTCAAGGTTTGGTAATATTTTTGGTCATAGTTTTGATATTTTATAACAGGTTGTATGAAGAGTAAGTAAAAGCTTACTCTAGTATCATATTTCTTTAAGTTAATGAAATTAGCCGCATCATTGCAACGAAGATTATGCTAAAGTAGTAACACTTACCTTTTGGTGATGCTATTGACGGTAGTGAGTAGTGACAGCAAGATATCAGTGGTTAATTGGCTATTTAGTTGTAGAGTAGTGAAAATGAGCATACTGGTAGAAGTAATGGCAATAGCAAAAGCCAGTGGTGTAGTTGGAGTAATTATATGCCAAGTGGCTGTGGTGATAGTGAAGGTTCATGGTGGCAATTGTAGGGCCAAAGATTAGGCAGATGCTGGTAGTTGTGGGACTTGACTTCGGAATGCTGAACATGCCTTGGTTTTTTTCCTAATGTTGAGGACCCGTGTCACTCTTATGTTGCATATCTCATTTTAATCAAAACTTTTGGAATTTTACTTAAATGTTTCAAGTTTTTCCATTGTAAGATGGATATGAGAAGTGACTTGGGGCTCTGACTGATGTTTGAAATAACTCTTACCTTATTTGTAATTGGGCTAGTGATGAGGTATTAGTGTTGTAAACGTTGTTGCCATCCCTGTTAAGTTTTTGAATGTTATTTTTTGTAAAATGTGGCTTTATCTGCATATGCTTGTCTCCTGAAATGTCTTTTCCACATTGTACTTTTGCAGGAAAGAAGGGGTTTGAGGTTCTTATTCAAGGTGGTGTGATCGATGATGTAGCACGGCATCTGGTCGAACAATATGGGGTTCCAAAAAGATATATTGAGGTTCTTGATAAAACCAAGAAATGAAAAGTACTCTTAATGGTCAGTTTTTTCTTTTAGGCAGCTATCTTATGTTGCATAAAATGGCATAATGAAATTTCACATTAACCTGAATGTGTTTATTTATATTGTTTCGGGATAAATCAACCTTTTCTCTTCTGGCTTTTTATTAACTGATGTATATACTTCTGTTTTCATTGTCTGTTTTTCTCTTCTCTCTCTTTCTCTCTCGGCACCGTTTGCTTGTTTCTATGTTCTTTTTTTATGTTTTATTGGTTAGATATTATGATGAATATAGTGTATATCTTAATTTTATTTTCTCCCCTTATTTAATTTGCCTGTTTACTTTATTTCTCAATCATGGTACTTGATTTGCTATCTTTTTCTTGAATTTGCATTTGCTTGACGAACCATGTAAATTCAGGAAAATTAGGTTTCAAATTTTACAGCAATCAATTAAAATGATCATATTCCCAGCAGTTTTTCTTTCCTGCAGAGCGCCCTAGTTGGTGAAAGACTATTGCAAATGCAGCAATTTGAACTGTCTGTATTAATAATCTTAGCTTAGACATTCAATTTACTGTATGAGCCTTTTTATTACATGCATCTGAATGATGCTAGGTGGAGTTACATATTCTCGTCCCAGTATTTTGCCCTGCTACCATGTCAGCAAACTACTCCCGTTGTGCAAGCAAAGACTAACTAAGAATATAGGAGACCATATTACACATGCATCAACTTGTAGCTGATGTTATATTTTGGGCATATGAATTAATCGTTAATAAAACTTCATGTTGATTTCTAACTTTGACTCAGGTGGGAGTATTCATGAGATTATGGAAGGAAGCAAATTACTAAATTACTACTTAAACCCTCATTTGATACAATCCCAGGAATGAGTGCTGAGCGGAGGTTAGAATTGAGTTTTCCTTGAACTTGCTTTTATACGAGAAAATTAGGGTCAAACTTCCTTCTGCAAAGATGTTCAAGTATATGAAGTTTTTCTGCAGCAATGCCTAAATCTACGCCGAGATTAAATTTTAGGAAATCGACTATTTTACATGACTTTTCTGCAGCAATGTCAAACTTCCTTTTACTTTCGCATGTCAAGATTGTATAGACTAATCTTTACTCTTCCCCTTACCTGGAATGGGTTGATTTAGTGTTGGTTTTGTAATGATCTTATGGCACTTCCTACTCATGTTATTTGTTATATTTTGTGATTTGAGAGGTGAGGTGAGCCATGTCTTGCATGAATGTTTCCATTTTTAACATAAATGAACAATTTTCCTCCATTGCTTGGGTGTATAAGGTGAGAGTATGTGGTTCGGTACTGAGTATTCCCTCACTTTTGTTACTGTGGGATGGTTACAAACACGTAAAATTCTTTCATCCAGAAAGCCAGCATTTTACTATTAGTTAAATAAATTTTTTAAATGAAATATGCTTATATTTTGTATGGATTTTTTTTTTTTTGATTGAAATACCTAATAGTGGATTTAAGCGAATGTTAGGGGCGTTATAATAACTTCTCAAAAAAAAAAAAAAAAAAAAAAAAGTAATGGATTTTTTTTTTTTTTGTATTGAAATAACCTAATTAGTGATTTAAAAGCGAACGTTAGGGGCGTTATAATTAACTTCTCAAAAAAAAAAAAAAAAAAAAAAAAGAAAAGAAGTATTAATTAGGATTATAAAAAAAAAAAAAAAAAAAAAAAAGAAAAGAGTATTAATTAGGATATAATTTAGAGACCTAAGTCTGTTTTACCTTACATTTCAAATTTTTAAATCAGGTTGTAATTGTTAAAAAAAAAAAAATTGTAATTATAGCAACTTACAAGACAAGACAGCTAAAATTTGAAGTATTTCTGCATACAATCACATTTATCCGAAAAATTCACTACTGGAATGGACACGGTATATCTTAGGAAGCCGAGGGAGGATGAAATTCATGCTTCACCAATTATATATCGATCTCCAATTTGTTCAAACATCTCTGCAACTTCCTTCATTGATGGGCGGTAAATGGGATTTTCATTAAGACATTTATAAGCAAGCTGAGCAATTTGTAAAGCCTCTTTGATAGAGTATCTTCCCTCCAACCTAGGATCCATTATCTGTCTCAACCTTCTTTTATGGACTAGGCTTGGTTTTGCCCAATTCACCAGGTTTTCTTGTTCCAATGGACGTCTTTTATCAATTGGTCGCAACCCTGTTAGCATCTCGACCGAGACTACTCCGAAACTGTACACATCGCTCTTTACATACAATTTTCCTGGTAAATTGGTGCCATGTAACTACAAGTTATTGAAGGCCAGAAATTTGAACAGAACTAGTCATCTGAGTTTTAGATGGTTCAAAGAAATACCTATGGCAACGTACTCGGGATCGATGTAACCAACTTTACCGGCAACTTGTGCCGTTACATATGAATTATCAGCAGGTCCCCACATTGCCAAGCCAAAGTTTGATATTTTGCAGTATAAAAGAAATGCAAGAGAATAACAGGTTAAAGATTGATATCTTTGTATAAAGTGCTTGGTTTAAATTACTTCAACGTTTACAGATTTCCAAAAGGCATATATAAACAGTACAGCACTTTTACCTGATTAAGAATCACATTTGAGGATTTGAAATCTCTGTAAATTATTGGCTTCTCCATCGTATGCAAGTAACACAGACCCTTAGCCATTCCCATCATAATCTTAATCCTTGTTTTCCAAGGAAGCAATCGATCCGAGCTCTCTGCACAAAGTAAAAAATGCAGTGCATAGAAAAAATGAGGTAATTTTATTTATTTATCAGCAAAAACCAAAGTATGTTGCATTTGACCACTACAGAGTTTACACAGATTAATTAGTTCTTACTTCCAAATAAATGGTAATTCAACCTGCCCTTTTGCATGAGTTCATAAACAATAAGGAAATTCTCATTTTCCTTACAATATCCCAACAGCTTTACGATGTTAGGATGAGAAAGCCTTCCGAGGAAACCAACTTCTGTCTGTACAAACAATTGGTACAAAATTACAACACAATGATGAAAGTGCCCAAAGAAAATAGATTCATCACATTTAACAATTATACTAGCAGAGAGAAATTGAAAACTATAATATCCCCAAGGCCTGTTAGGTATCAATGCTTTTATAGTTTTGGGTTCTTATTTTCCAATTGTCAAAGGAGATTATATTACTGAAACGTATTTATTTTTAATTCTTGACAACGACCAAATATATATATATAAACAAGTAGCATTAGTTTATATATATAAACGAAATAATATAATGTACGAAGATATACCAAACTCTCTCTCCATTGCCGTAATCCTTTGTTTCTGATGAGCAACATTCTCTACATAGCAACAGCCTGTTTCTCGTTGACATAGCCCTAATAGACATAGCCAAAACCTCCTTTTCCCAAAACCATATCACTTCTAAAATTAAAGGTTGCCGCTTTCAATTGGGCAAAGGTAAAAGCTTTGAAATTTGAGTCAGATGCAGTTCCCTCATCTGGGATATTGTCATCTTCTATTGCCGCTGATATTTCATTGTCCTCTGCATTATTATTGGTGCAAATAATAATGCTGTAATATTGGTAGTTGCCATGGACTTCCGGCTGCTGCGGGAAACGTCGTTAGCCATAAAAGAACCATCACCTGATCATACAATAACGTAAAAAAAACAGAGCATTTTAGTGCCATCACATGTTTGCAGAAAGTTAAAGACAAATTAAGAGCAAAATGAACAAAACCCAATTGTAAAATGATCAACTTACTATCAATCAGATGGGCGATAGTACTCGGGAGTGGATCTGGTTCTGGAATCGGCTCTACAGGTTGTGATGTGGTGAGGTCCATGCGGATATCAGATTTTGGCGTTGGATTGGACTTTCCAACAATGTAACTCGAGCAAACACTCATCAAAAAGATTTTTTTTTTTTTTTTTTTTTTTTGGACTTTCCAACAATGTAACTCGAGCAAACACTCATTTCAAAAAAAGAGTTTTTTTTTTTTTTTTTTTTTTTTTTTTTTTTTTCTTTATCTCTCTATACTGGCTTACTCACTGTTGAAAAGAATAAGACATTACATAGAGTTTTGAGGATCGAAGTCATTGCCATTTAGAGTTCTACTCTTACTCTGTCAATGGTAAAAAATTGGTATTTTTATCAGAAACTTTCAGGTCAACAACTTGCAAATATAAACATCTTAACGTAAACAAGGGGTTGAATACGACGAAGTGGAAGCAACCTTAACAATATTTTTCTTGATGAATTAAAAATAGTTATAACTTGCTTCTTCAGAAAGAGTTTCTCATTCCTATTGCTTCTTATCACTTTCTTGTTTCATTCCTCGATTGCATGGAAAACGGGGAAGAAACAGGGGTAAATCACATTTATGATATCTGAAATTTTTAGTTTTTTCTATTTTGATATGTAAATGGAAAATATTTGCAATTGAGTACCGTCAAGCTTGCAAGATCATTTTGCCAACAAATTAAAACAGACAATTTACTTAATAAATAATATCAAACATAAATATCATTCAATTGATATCTTTTCTATAAGAATAACGAGTGATATTATTCACAGGATAAAATGATTAAATTCAACAATCCAACAATAGTGGTTTAATTAAATGAAAATAGACAATAATGGCTTAATTAACCCTTCATTTTTCGCTGCTCATATGGCAACATCTCATCCTTTTTGCAATGCAGCAAAACCTAACCTTTGAATCGGGTGAAATCAAACGAATGAGGTTCACTCTTATCCAATTTACAGTTAATCATTCTCAAAATTCAAGGCAAGAATTGATAATGCTATCTGATGAAGACAAGGTCGGACGAAATTTAGGCTTCACCAGTTACATATCGATTTCCAATCTGTTGTAAGATCTCTGCAACTTCCTTCATTGATGGGCGCAACTTCGGGCCGTTCTCAGTACATTTCAAAGCAAGCCGAGCAATTTGTAAAGCTTCTTTGACAGAGTATCTTCCCTCCAACCTAGAGTCCATTATCTCCATCAACTTTCTTTTATGGATTAAGCGTGGACTTGCCCAAGTCAGCAGCTGTTGTTTTCCAGGTGGACGTTGCCTATCTATTACTCGCAAGCCTGTAAGCATCTCGACCAAAACTACACCGAAACTGTAAACATCGCTCTTTACATACAACCTTCCTGATAAATGATTTATGTAAAAGTTTAAGAAGTCAGTTTATAACAAGTGGCTTCGTATAACTCCAAATTACTTTATCTGGGTTTAGATGGTTCCAAGAATTACCTGTGGCCTTATACTCGGGAGCGGTATAACCAGCTGTGCCCATAACATGTCCTGTTACACATGAATTATCGGCAGATCCCCATTTTGCCAAGCCAAAATCTGATATTTTTGCAGCGCAAGACTAAAGCAAGAAAAAATGAAGTTGGAGAAAAATTACATACTCATGAATCACTTAATATTTTTCTGTACGGCTTGCTTGGTTTAAAAGAACTGCATAAAGTTTTATGCAATTCATTAATATATCAACACTTTCATATTTGGTATAAAATAAAAATTAATTTAGAATTCTAAATTTTTAATTTTATGGAATTAGTTATGCTTGAACTAAAACCTTATGTTAATTGATAGAATTTCCAAATGAACTAAACCTTATTATAACTATTTAACTAATCATATTAATTAATGGAAATGCAAATGAAAGTAATGAAACCAGCTGCAATCAAATCCAATCTTCTAAACTTGTTGTCTTAGAATCCACATTGCTATTCTCAACATATCTGTTCTGTTTTGAATTGTTCTCAGTACTCTTATCTTGTAACAGTACAAATATGTTGTGAACATGACAGAGAGAATATAGCTGCAACTTAATTCTAAAATACTCAAGACCTTGAAGTAGCCTAAATACAAAAGAATTTGTCATGTCATGGCTTCAACCTAGACATATTCCTGAATGGCATATAGAAATCATACAGAATTTTTACCTGGTCAAGAAGTACATTTGAGGACTTGAAATCTCTGAAAATTATTGGCTTCTCCATCGTATGCAAGTAACACAGGCCTTGAGCCATTCCTATCATAATCTTAACCCTTTTTTCCCATGGAAGCAAATGATTTGAGCTCTCTGCACAAATCAAAATATACAGTGCAACGCACAGAAGAAAATGAGGTTATTTAATTTATCGGCAAAAAACAAGAAATATGCAGCAATTGGCGACTTCACAATTTACTGACGTTAATTAGTTCTTACTTCCAAATAAATGGTAATTCAAGCTGCCCTTTTGCATGAGTTCATAAACAATGAGGAACTTTTCATTTTCCTTACAATATCCCAACAACTTTACAATGTTAGGATGAGAAAGCCTTCCTAGGAAACCAACTTCTGTCTGTACAGACAAATAACAACGAAAAAATGATTCAACGATGAATCTGCTCAAAAGATAAACTTTATTTATTACATTTAACAATTATACTAACAGAGAGAAATTGAAAAAGTTCATACATCCTAGGCCTATCAATTCTGTTATAGTTTTTGGTTCTTATTTTCAAATGATCAAAGGAAATTATATTATTAAAACATATTCATTTGATTTATTTAAAAGACAAAAAGAGATGCCAAAACAATGGAAAAAACGAGAAAATTTGATTTTCACTTGTTTCATCAATCTATTTTATCTTTCTAATCCTTGAGAACAACCAAAAAAAAAAAAAAAAACCTCTTATTTTTTAATCCTTTCTAAATTCCTTGAGAACAACCAAAAAAAAAAAAAAAAAACCGAAATGATAATATGAAACAAACTCAACTCCCTAAAAAAAAAAAAAAAAAAACCGAAATGATATATGAACAAACTCACTCTCCATTGTCGAAATCCTTGTTTGCTGTTTGCATCCAATCTTTTAACAGCAATGGCTCGTTTCCTGGTACCTTGGGATGGTACATTCTCCTTGATATAGCCCTTATAGACACTGCCAAAACCTCCCTTTCCCAACACCATATCAGTTCTAAAATTAAAGGTTGCAGCTTGCAATTGTGCAAAAGTAAAAGCTTTCAACTTTGTATCAGATGCAGTTCCCCCGTCTGGGATGTTGTCATCTTCTATTGCAGCTGAGAACTCATTGTCCTCTGCAACATTATCGGCCCAAATAGCTGCAATTACTCCGCTTACTTGAGACAACAGAGTTGTAACATTGGTAGTTGCCATAGACATCCAACTGGTGCGGGAAACGTTGCTACCCAGAAAAGAATCATCACCTGATGATATAATAAAGTGAAAAAAACAGAACAGTTTAGTGCCCACCACATGTCTGCAGAAAGTTCCATGATAAATTCGGAGCAAAATGAACAAAATCCATTGGTAATATGATAACTTACTATCGATCAGATGGGCCACACTACTCGGGAGTAGATCTGGTTCTGGGATTGGCTCTGCAGGTGTCGGAGTGAGGATATCAGATTTTGGGGTTGGATTGGACTTGCCATTAATGCAACTCCAGCAAATACCCATCAAAATATATAGTATTTTTTCCTATATTGGCGTAATCGGTGGTGAAATTAGATTTAGAGAAAATAACAGGACTTGTTACATAGACCTTTAGGATTGAAGTCAATGCATCAAAAGCTGTACTCTTCGTCTCACAGTGGTTATAAAAAGACTTGATATAGTTTGTTTCAAGTCAACAAAGAGAAAGAGCCAAGCACTCGCGTAGCATCTTACTATGACAAGGGATTGAACGCGATATTGTCAAAGCAACCTTAATATATTTTCTTGATGAAATCTTTACAAAGAGTTTCTTCTTCTCAATTTTCTTCCTCTGCCCGTTTCGTTCCTCGACCCGATGTGCAGATTTGCATCGAAATCACTTGAATGTAAGAACACTGCGTGACAAATTCTTTACTTCTACAATTTGCTGTGGCAGAGCAAAAAGGAAGTTTTTGGGGTTGCATTTTTGAATCGTGAGCAACATTTGCAAATTATAGGTCAAAAGATGCAAAAGTGGAAAATCAGCGTTGACTGAAGCTGTTCTGGGTGTGAATCGCATGGCCACGGTTAATTTTGAACCGGAATCGAACCGTACTGTATATGAAACAAAATCAGACCGGAATTATTGGTTTAAAATTTTGAAATGGAATTGGCAGTACGAGAGCTGGTTAAGGTTCATGTAAATGTTAAAATCTGAACCTGAATCTACCCTGAACCATCGGTTAACCGGCGATTTCGGTCCAGTTCGAACGGAAAATTTTCTATTTTTATTTTCAAAATAATAATTACTTAGCCTATTTTATACGTCTCTAAAAGTCTTAATATGATACTTTACTTAAGTTTTTTTTTTTAAAAGACTTTTTATTTTAAAAGTTAAAAATGTAAAAAGTAAAATAGTATAAAAAGAGAGAAATATTTAGTCTAAATTTAAAGTAAAATAGTAATATAAAAGAGAGAAATAATTTAGTCTAAATTTATATTGTTTTTTAACTTTTTTTTTTCTATCCTTTTTAAATTGTTTACTAAGTTTAAAATTTAACAATTCTTTTGAAGCATTTTTCAAAATTTTTCTTATTAATTTATTTTAATTGATAACATTTAAACAAATAAATTGATAACTTATTTTGATTATTTTTTGTAAAATTAAATTAATTTTATTCTTATATAGTTTTTGGAGCATTCTAAAATTTATTTAAAATAAAAATTTATTATATATTTTAAACTCACATAATATTTTCCAAAAGAAAGATGTAAACGTTAGAACGGATTTTTTTTTTTTTAAAAATTAATTAATTTTATTCTTATATGAGTTTGAGCATTCTAAAATTTATTTAAAATAAAATTTATTAATATATTTTAAACTCACATTAATATTTTCAAAAGAAAGATGTAACGTTAGAACGGATTTTTTTTTTTTAAAAAAAATTTATATCGCAGGAAACCGTAATCGAAACCGTTGGTTCATCAGAATCGCATCAGAATCGGCTGGAACCAAAATCGGACTGAAACCGATGGTTCAAAGACCGATTCAAATTCAATATTTAAAATTTTTGAACCGACGGTTTAATGAGCCGGCCATGCTTAAGTATGATGTGATGTTTAGCTTGTCATCATCTATTAATAATTGGCCTACAGCATAAGTTGTCCTCGAGCTTTAAAATTTTATTCTTATGACAAATTAAAATTTTTAAAAACCAACCTAGATCATATTGTAATATCCGTCATGAATAAATACTTTAGAGATATCCTTGGTACAATGTTAGTAAAATGTATAAATTCACCCCCCCAATATTTTATATAAAAAAAATTTATAATACACTTTTTAGTTTTACTTTTAACTTATTAAATATTTCAATTTATAAAAATTGCACATATTCAATACTTCAACTAGCAAAATTTTCTATTAAACATTCAAACTTGTAAAATTTTATCTATTAAACACATATTAGTAATTAAAAATATGAAAATTATAGTTTAAAAGTTGTAACAACCACACATTAAATCAATATTTGTATATAAAAACTAAAAACATATAAAGAAACTAGCGTTGCTAGTGTAGAGAGATGCGCAATGATATCAAAATGCATACTTTAAGGGGCACAATAAATTCTTCGCAATGTTTGAGGTGCTGCAAAATTATTTATGTAAAGTATAAGGATGAATTAGGATGTGGTTATTAAAAATTGTAAATTTAAGAGCATGATAGATATCTACGTTACTTTGAAATATCAAATATAGAATCATAATATGAGAAAATAATTATTTCGTCCTTAAAATTTTACAAAATTAATTAATTTATCCTCATAATTTTGTATATTAGGTATATAGTAATTGACGTTTGATTCCATCGTGTTAAACCGTCAATTTTAATGATTTTTGGCATTAAATATCTGGTGAACGACTAAAAGACTATAATAAGACAAAAATACCCTTATGATAAAACAAAAAATTAAAGCACTATCCTTCTTCATCTCTCCAACCATTATGTTTCAAAGATATTGTTTCCATCACATCAAACTATACTGTATAACAAAGAAAGGCATGAATCAAGGTCTGCTCCGGCGAAAGAAAAGCAATAGTCAGTAGTGGTTGAGATGGAAGAGCTTGAAGTAGTGGTAGTCGGTGCCGTTGATTGAGGATTCTGATCCTAATGGAGGAGGAAAAGGATAACAAAGCGGGTCGAGTCGGGTCTTTTGAGTCACCTGTTCCGTTTGTCACCTCCAAATCCCTCACGTTTTCACCTTTTCACAGATCTCTTTACACTTTTGTTCATTGGGAAGGCATTATATATGAGCCCATTTGGCATGGGTCCAACCTAAGGAACCAGAGATCTCCGAGAGAGCCCTAAACACCAACTCAAACTCTCATTTTAGACGTGGTTAAACCTTGGCCACCAACATATCTTGTCGTCGGTTCCGTTTGCCAAATCAGATACTGTTTCCAATTTCTTTTCTGAAATGCTATTGGGTTTCCTCAGTTTGAGATTTAAATCATCTCACCAAATGTTTATTATATTTGCTTATGTATAAATTATATTATATACGAGTATAAGTAAATATGTCTATATGATTTCAAGGAAGAGAGTTACATCTTTCATATGATTGTTGCCTTTCGATTTCTAATTTTATCATTTACTAACCCAAGCTTCTAACTTGTTTAAATGTATTTATTTATTTATTTGAGTTTCTATAGTTGTAGAAATGGAGATTTGGAGAAATGAAGAAGAAGAAGGATAATGCTTCTCTTTGTGTTTTATTACAAGGTTTTTTACTCTTTCACTACATATTTAAGGTCAAAAATCATTAAAATTGGATGGAAGGACATATAATATGACGGAATCAAACTTCAAGGATTAAATACCTAATATATAAAAATATGAAAATGAGTTAATTAATTTTATGAAACCTCATGGATGAAATAATTATTTTCCCTTATAATATTCAAGGGCAATTTTATGCATTAAAAACCTCTTTTAAGCAAAGTGTATCATGTAGTAAAGATTTATTTAGACTTTAGAGGTATACAGAATAGGTTAAGTACAAATTTTTGAAAATAAAAAGTAGAAATTCTTTGTTCGAATCGGACCAAAATCGCCGGTTCCAGACTGGTTCAAGTTTATATTGTAACATCGATATGAATTTTAACCGGCTCGTGAACTGGCGATTTTAGTTCAAAATTTTTAATCGACAGTTACAGTTCATTTACAATACAATTTGGTGCCGGTTCGAACATGGCAACTAATGCCTAGCTGGCATGCTTGCTGGGATCCCATTACTGCTACTTTCAATCATTTTATTTTATCTATTGTTATTGATGAGGTTCACAAATGCCTCGAAATATGCTTTATAAAGGAAGTTGCTAGGTTATAGGATTCAGAAGAAGGGCCTACCGCAGGTTTTAGAAATTTTCCTCCACAGAACATGGAACATGCTGAAGGAGGATCTAATCCTCATGACGAAGAAGAGATTCAAACTCCTAATTCAAAACCCACAAAAATTGAACATAGTTTTACTACTGTATAAAAACAAGAGCAGGGTAAGTTAGTTATTATATCTCTTAATTTTGATAGTAACTCATTCTTTGTTTTTGAAGTTTTGAAGATATTGACAAACTCTTGAAAATGATGAAACTTATTATTTACACCATATTTTAATTATTTTTGTTTTATGGATTTGACTTGTAATTTTATGATTTATTTGGACTTTAATTAATTAATTGGCTTTTAGCATATTAAAGGCTCATAATTAATTAATTAATAACTAAGAAAATATGTTGGAAGTTAACAGAAGATGGTTAACAAAAAGAATCAAGCAACTACTTGCACAATACACAATGGAAAGAAATTACCTAAGTAGTTACCTGGACAGTTGAGATGTCATGCACGTAAACTAATAATCGCCAGGTGTCTTATAAAAGCCAAGCTTAAACATCAAAGGAGGCTTCTAACAATCAACTCCAAAAATCAAACTCAAGATCAAAATAAACTACAATTATCAAGCAATTTTAATTCAATATCCTTTATGTTCATTATAATTTCTTTTTCCAAGTACGTTAATTTGTCTTTGCAATTCAACCTTTTTTCAATACAATATTTTTAATTCAAGCAATCACTTTCTTTTACAAAGCTTTCTGCAATTTTTTATTTTCAAGCATTGTCTATTTTATTCCAACAATCGATGAAGCGTTTATCATGGAGTCACAACTTTCAGTCCTTTAATTAAGATGTTAAAGTGGCGTAATTTCTCCTGTAGTTGGTAGACTTTAGTATCTGGTACGTCTAAGCTATTAGTCAATCCGTAATTATTTCTCAGAGTGAACACTTATGTTTGAGAAATATTCTTCTTTTATATATATCTTATGTTATTTCATCACCAATTGGTAGATAGATGACTAAGATTGAAGAAGTAGATTATACTTTAAAAAATAGTAGAGAGTTGGGAGCACTAGTTTCGAGGTTCCCCAAGGGGTATTGGTGCAAGTGGTGTCTAACCGGAAAAGAGCTATCAACCACCACACGGGAGAAAGGAGCAAGTGACATATCATTATAATATGTCGCTTCAATCTAGTCGCCTCACTGATAGATTTCAGTGTCTTCCTCAAAATGATAGTCACACAAATCCTGCAATCCATCTTAGAGTATATGAATTCGAAGTTGCACCAGTACTTCAGGTGCCCCAGATGACAGTTGGCTTGGGAGCACTTGTGTACTATGAAAAGATAAAGGGGGTACTGTGTAGGAGCTTTATGGGTTTGCCTCAAACAAATTGGTTGTCGATAATTTTACAAGCCGTGTCTTGAAACGGTTGATAGAAAAAATCCTTGCCCCAAAAGATACAAATTAAATTCTTGATTTACTTTATTTTCTAGAGAGTAACAATCAACTCTAGAGCACATAGTCTCGTTTTATAAATATAATTTAATATAAAATTAGAAGCATCAAAATCGCAAAAAACTAAATTAAACTATAATTAAGTT